GAGCTTCGCAGATTGGACAGGGAGAAAGGAAGGAGGACTGATCTTTCACATGACCCAGATTATTACTGGGCATGGCTGTTTCGCCGATTACTTGAAGCGTATAGAGAAGGTGGATAGTAACCGGTGCGAGCACTATCGATTAGGGGTAGATACAGCGCAACACACGCTCCAGGAATGCTCCAGCTGAGATAGACAGAGGTTGGAACTCTGTAGGGTGATTGGGGGTGATCTGACGTTATCAACGGTTATACGATCCATACTTGGCTCAGAGGAGGTATAGTGTGCGGTCAGAACCTTTGCAACGGCCGTCATGATGCAAGCAGGAAGCCAAAAGAAGGAGACAGGAGGTAGAGAAGGTGATGCAGGCGAGCGCTCAGACCCAAGTGTGCAGATGGCTTCCCCCAACAGAGATGGTTCCCCAAGTGATGAATAGAACGGCGGGAACGACGGTATAAGATGGAGAGAAATCAGCTTAGTAGTTCGCTGTTGCTGCCGGTTTAGGTTTAGGTTTAGGTTAAGTTTAGGATAAGATAGGATAGCTAGGCTAAGATTGTCGCGAGAGAAGCAAAGGTGGAGAAGAAGATCAACAGGCCTCTGGAAACATCTGAAGGGCAGGGCTTCATAAGGGAGACAGGGGGCATGAATGAGGGCGGGGGAGGGGATGTAGGCGAAGGGATAAGGGGTGAATGGATGTGTGTGACTACGTGTGCGGTGAGAGAGAGCGCGTGTGGGTATGTGTGTGTGGAAACGTGTGAGTGGGCGTGGGGCGGAGTAGATGAAGAGAAGAGCCGAGGGGGATAAGGATGTGAGAGATAAGGGTGTGGGGGAGGAAGGGGCAGGGGGGAGTGGAAGTAAAAAAGAACGGTATCCCATAAGGAAAGATGGAGGGTTAAGGTTGTCGCCCCTTTGGCAGTCGGGGGTGATATCAGGCCCAACCCTCAAGGAAGATGCATCTGGCGGGGCCCGTGGAGGGGTTTGGTCTGGGGATGCCGAGCTTCGGGAAACCACGGGCACCAGCCAAGGGGGAGCGGCGGATGGCATGGCGGACCATCCGTCGCTGATTAGAGATAAGAAAGGTCTATTCGTGCCACTAGTGCGGATGATCGGAGAAGGGACCGAACGGACTCTACGGTTGGATCTAGATACTTTCCGGTATGTGAACTTGCTGGCGTTCCCAGAGAATGTTTACATATATAGGATCGTGGTTAGGATCCGGCATGGCCCGGAGAGGTTTTGGTCAATCGGAGTCTGACATAACCCTCCGGTCCTCTCCTCCGGGAGGCTGGAGGATATCCATGAAGGATTTCCTCTCCGACACTAAAAAAAAAAGATTTTCTTAGAGAAGGAGTGTGCTCATATATACTGTGTTTCAAAGTAATCTCCTGCAAGTTTTAGATGTTAAATGTACACTGTGTCGAAAAATTACGCTCGATTAATGAAGCTTCTTTTGTTAATAACTTTTTAATAAACAATGACAGCCGGCTGAAACTTTTTAATTAAATTACTCAGGACTATGTTCTTGATAATATATATGAAGTTGATCGATATTAAAGATCATCGGCGATATCCTTTAATATCCATAATTTCCTCAACTTCTTTTGTTAATAACTTTTTAATAGTGGGCGACGGCTGTAACTTTTAACATAACACTCAGGAACATGTCCTTAACATATGTCAAGATCATGGGCTTTTGAAGAGGTTGACCTTATGTTATATTTACCGAAACTTCTTTTGTTAATAACTTTTTAACAAACAACGAGCGCCGCCTAAATCCTTTTACACATTACTTAGAGTGATGACCTTGACAACATAGTCAAAGCCAAAGTCATTGAAGGTGCATCCCCTACACTGCATAATTACTATAATTTCTTATAAGTTAAATTTTGCAAAGTTGTGTAGTGTATTCTATATGTACAAAGGATAAAGATAATGATTATATTCGCTATCACTAACTTAAAAATGTAATTGTGTTACTGTTATTATTATAAACGTAATAAAATTCATTGCTAAGATGTTACAGAAAGAAAGGAACTTGTTATAATAAATAGCATTACAAGTAACGCGTTTCTCCCTTGATGTACTATTATATAAAATAATGAAAAAATTAAGATTCCCAAATATTGGAAAATATTTAAATATTTAAAAAAAGGAGTATTTTTGACAAAAAAAGTTTCAAATAAACAGCATAAGGTTTAAAATGATGCATCAGATTATCATAATAGTTTAACTTTAAATGATAATATTAAGGTTATATAAAGTTGTCTGAAAGAAATTCGATTTTTTTGCCTGAATTTTTAAAATAGGACCTACTATTTTTCTTATCATTCTTTTGTAGTTTATATTTAGTCGATTTTAAAATGGTATCATATATATATATATAATTCTCTACGCTGTGCTATTCGAATTGTCAATCCCTTCACCGACTTTGGCGGAAACGCAATACTACGTTCACAAAAAGTAATTTAAACTGGAGGCAACATAATATTGCGTTTTAATATTTCTGGCAGTTCAATACTTTTAAAATTAGATATTTATACATTTTTTGGAGTCGCTCTATTCAATTGTACAATTCACATTGAAAATGACAGATATAATATAGCTCGTCTATAAAATTTATAAAAATATAAAAGTTTCACAAAAACTTTAAAATTTTTTGTATTTTGCGGTCTTTAGATCGCTCTTTTCAATGGTAAATTTTAAAAATAAAAATTTGAAATGACGAGTCCTCAAACCAATATACATGACTAAAAAAATATTACATGTATACTATATAACTTTTATTATTATAAATAATATTTATTATTTTGATATTTTGTTTTCGATGGAATTTAATTAAAAATTTTGTGTATTTTCATTATTTAACTTTTTTCATAATTAGATGTTTTATTTTGTTTATTTTGATCTAGTTTTATTTTGATAAAGTAAAATTATAATTTTGGTCGCTATATTGGTTTCACCATTTTGAACCTTAAAAAAATTTGACTTCATATTCATAAACAGTGATCTCAAAAAACCCTTAAACATAAAATTTTAGTGGCATTATTTAACTTTTGAAAATCCATTTTTTACCAACTTAAACATTTTTACAAAATTTAAGTTGCTAATCAAGAGGCTAAGAAATACATATATGTGCAAATGTAATATGAAATGTAGATATAATTAAAAAGAATATAATATAATGAATATAATGTAATCAGAAGAGTAAATATCATTACAGAAATTAAGTTGTTACTTTTATGCAATCTAGCAATATGACAATATCGAAAAGAAAAGTTTAAAATTGCATTTTAATAAAATTGATAAAATATAAGACTTACATTTATCCTTGGAGAATCGTATCTATATCTTTTAAGCCAAATAATGAAAATAGTTCAAAAATAATAATTGAATGGTAGATCAATAATATGATTTTTTAAAGTCGTTTTAACATAAAATATTAGGATGTTCGGAAAGTTCATTTCAAATTTCGCATGCTCCATTTTGTTATGCTATCAGTGAAAGCGAGAGCACTCTAAACAATTTTGTTCATCAACAAACCTTCCTCGATCTGTGAACCTTCGAACTGTGATCTAAGTACAACCATTTCGACAGAAATCAGGAAAAATAGAGGACCAAAAAATCCATTTTCGCCATGTGATGCTCTATTGTTCTAAGCATGGCTTCACGCGTGGTTTCATAGACCACGAATGAGATGTTTTCTGCGTATAGAGATGCCTGCGTCACCCACCAGATGGAAGTAGTTCGGAAGTAGTACCCCAGATTCGAAGCTGGCGATTTTAATATGAAAGACTGAGCTCGTTCGGGCTTGGCCTCAGAAAGTTGATGAAATGGTTCTTGAGACTTTGATACGCTAAAATTCGCAAGTGACCGTTAGGAAACTCACCGATACTCTGCATAAGTTCGTCTTTGACCGTGCATGACTACTTGAAAAAGTTGGGGTTCTCAACTCGATTGGATATCTGGATGTTACACGAAATGGGTGAATGGCAGCTGGTAGAACGTGTAAACATATGTGATATACTGCTTCAATGGCATCAAAAGGAACCGTTTTTAAAGAAGACCATAACAAGCAATGAAAGTTGGATCCTATGCAATAATGTTAGCCACAAGAGAACCAGTGGCGAATGGGGAATTGGGGAACCTCCCGCGGCGCATCTACGCAAACAGTGGCCAAGCCAGAGCTTCACCTAAAGAAAGCTTTCCTGAATATCTGGTGGGATTTTAAAGGCGTGATGTATTGTGAGCTTCTTCATCTGAACGAGAACATCAATACTGCGAAGTACACTCACCAGCTAGACGAACTGAAGGCTTCGCACGGAAGTGCTTTGAACTGGCCAACAGGCATGTCTTTCATCATGATATTACCAAACTTTACGATGTTCATAGGGAGTTGCTGAATTTTGAATGAGACGTTGTCATCCTCCATATTCTCTTGTTCCATCTGACTATTACCTATTTCTCTTTTGGAAAAGTTTTCTTAAAAAAAATTCGAATTCTTTGAAAACCTTCAAAATTCGCCAAATTCAATTATTCGTCAATAAGGAACCTTCGTTTTGGAGCAAGGGCATCATATAGCTACCCAATAAATGAGTCAAGATTATAAAACAAAATGGTATATACTTACTTCAATAAATAATTCCAACAAATAAAGTTACTTTTTGAATAAAATATTACGTTCTGAATTTATATAGAAAATTTGAAACGAATCTTCCAAGCAGCCTAACAGTATTCGGAGTAGTATCCTGAGTATTCGGATATTCAATTAATAATATCGTTAATTCTTTGCAGTCGGAAATATAGATATTTCTCTTTTTTCCAAAACTAGGAGGGACTAATGGAAAATAAAAATAATATTAGATGCTTTGCAACAAGCAATAGAGTCAATACAATGTCGACATTAGATTTACTTAGATTGCGCAATATCTTGACGCGAATCTTTATATATAAGGTTAACATATAAAATATTTTACAGCCATATAGTAGCAACATTAATATAAGAATATATTAGGATTACATCATAACTAAGGCTATAATGTGGAGAAAAGCGACAAATAAATGAAGAGAATTCACCGATACAATTTACCGTTCGTCATCTATTCACGACCAATATTATGTATATCGTCCTAGAAAAGAAAATTTTATTTTCTTGTTTAGACATTTATCTTTCTTAAGAGTCAAAAAAAAGAATATAGTAACAGTAGGCACGGTATAAAGAGATTAGAGATAAAGTATTTTACTTTCACTCTCAAAATACAGCATTTTGCGTTTCGAAATTGCAATGGTTGCGCACTGATCCCTGAAATTTAAAGCTGCGATTAAAAACCAATAGCGAGACGTAAGACTGCTTCGTAGTATTTCGGTATACAAGAATACATAAATTAGCACTTATGCAAGTCAGCGGCAGTCATTCTTGAACAATGGATTTGGCCCCTTTCTTTGGAAGAAGAGAACTGGCTTGATCGTCTAACTGTCATCGGTACTTCCGTAAATTTACCATAGAATTGTAAATTCCATTTGTCAATCACGCACCAACATTCGTTGCTTTGCTGATAGAACATGTGAATGATCGCAATCGTGTTACGTTGCTGCTTTCGGTTCGCTCTACAGATGAAGATAAAAGAACAAGAGAGCAGATGCAAAATTTGCTCTCGAGTATACTGTATATACAGTGTATATAACACGGTTGTTGGTAAGCAGTTGGAAGAAATAACATATCGAAATGGTATACAACAAATTTAACATAAGTGAGTAATATATCAAAGGCAGTGACTATTCCCTTTCACGCTTTTGGACGAGATGATTTCATGCATGAGCTATCGATTCAACACAAAACTATCATTCCACAAAGTTCATATAATGAAGCTATTCTTGAGCTGAGGAACAAAAATTTATATAACGTACTAGAAAAGATTACTTAGTTGTGTAGTGAAATAAACATGCCCGTCACTGAGACCCATGGTCACGTGTCCGAGAAGAGGAACTCGCTCTCAGAGAGAAGCACTTCCAAATCGGAGGGTACAGTATGCAAGTCAGAGTTAGCTAGCTCTGGCAGATCTCCACCGCCATTCCCTATGCCGGTAGGGGCAATTTGTCGTGCTCTGCCTATCCTGACTCTATCCTTTCTCTTGGTTGCCGTCCTTAGGAGCACGCCGGCTCTCGGTAGCTTAGCTACTGCCGTTTTACCGATATTAGTATGATTTGTCGTCACGGCACTTGATGAAACAATTGCCTGCGGAGCTTGCGCTACTTTATCAGACTTGCGTAATTTCACGCTAAAGCGGAACGGCGGCTTATACACCACTTGAAGTCTTGCGCGTTCCTTCTTGGCGTTTGAACCAGACGACAAGTTCTTCGACTCTTTAGTTTCTGCGCCAACACGTCGTGCGGATGGTGCTTGTTTTGACACAGACGCTCTGATGCCGCCTCCACCACCGGCCGTCAAACCTACCGGAGTTGACTTGCTTTTTGGCAAACCGGTAGCATTAGTCCTTACAGTCTCTGGTAGTCTACATTGTGAGGATGCCAATAACCAAGAACGCACTTTACTTTTAGGATCAGTGTTTGGTTCAGAATCTTTTTCTGTCTGAATCATTGAATAATCAATCACTTCCTTTCTGTGATGCTTCTTGCGCTTCCGTTTATCATTATCACCGCCACCAACAGCGTTATTATCACCGCTTTGTGTTTTATCTCTGGCCGTAGACATAATTTTTTTTCGTTTGTTTTCCTGTGTAACCGCTAGAGTAATTTCGGCTGACCTCTTGCGCGTAAAATCGTCCGTCGCTGCACCAGTAGACGATTTCTTCATCTGATTTGATTGTTTTTTCTTTGTCGCAACATCCTTCAAACAAAAAATTTAATTTAAAATTTTAAGTATGTATCATGTATCAAATATGTATTATGTGTGTGTGTGTGTATGTGTATAAAACAGATGAAGATCTAAATAACTTATGTATTAAAATCTAAATTTAAACCATAAACTAATTAGACCTTTAAAAATTTTGTTTCATGTGATATGTGAGTTAGTCTTGTGTTTTAGTAGTGATCATATCCTCATAGTATCACAATAATCACAATGAGATTACAATGAAGTCATAATAATGTCCGCTTTGTCAAAGACATTACTGAGGTCATGGTAATATTTGAATGTCGCGATAAGTGTGATGTCCCTTATGACATCATACTTGTAATATTCATATATTACACTAGGCGACACTGATTTTGCCACAAAAGGAATGACACATGATTTCGATAGGATTTTTCCCGTAGATTACGAATCTGAAATCCAAAATGTTCCATCACGTCACGTTTTTGAGAAAATGGCGGTCAAAATGTGAAAAAAAACGCGTTTTTGATACATTTTGAACCTCTGTCACAAGGAAACGAGACGTGATACACTGTACGTGGGCTCAAATTAAAGCTTGAACCTTAAACTTTAAATAAATGACGCTAGATAACATGTGACAATACTGTGGAATCGTGTAGCACTGGTTTTTTGACTGGGCACGCGCCAATTTCGATCTCGCGTTTAACAATGAACCTAAAGGGTGCCCCAAAATTCACGCAAGAAGTAATTTTGATAGAAAACACAGGTTTATAATTAAAAATTATAAATTTTTTATTGATTCATAAAGTATACGGTATAGGGTTATGTATGGAATAGCATATCGGGTAAACGGCCACAGCGAAGAGAGTTCGTTGAATGGATTATGGAACAAGTGGATGTTGATTTTTCGAACAAAATCATCTTCAGCGATGAGGCTCATTTTCATTTTGATGGCTTGGTTAATTGACAAAATTGTCGCATTTAGGGTTCAGAAAATCCACGAGTGATTGTTGAGAAACAAATGCATCCACAACATGTCACTGTTTGGTGCGGATTTTGGGCTGAAGGCATCATCGGACCATTCTTCTTCGAAAATGCGGCTGGTCAGGCAATAACAGTTAATGGTGCTCGCTATCGCGATGATAATCCAGTTTTTTGTGCCTAAATTGCAAGATATGGATGTGGACGACATGTGGTTTCAACAAGACGGTGCCACATGCCATACAGCCCGAGAAACAATTCAATTACTGCATGAGTCATTTTCTGGTCGTGTAATTTCCCGTTTTGGTGATCAAATTTGGCCGCCCAGATTATGCGATTTAACTCCGTTGGACTTTTTTCTTTGGGGTTTTTTGAAGTCTAAGGTTTATGCCAACAAGTACATAACCACCCACGCCTTGAAAGAGGAAATTGAGCGCTGTATCAACGAAATTCAGCCACATTTATGCAGAACGGTCATGGAAAATTTCAACAAAAGAGTGCATATGTGCCAGCAAAGCCGTGGAGGCCATTTACCCGATATGCTATTCCACACATAACTCTATACTTTATGAATCAATAAAAAATTTACAATTTTTAATTATAAACCTGTGTTTTCTATCAAAATTACTTCTTGCGTGAATTTTGGGACACCCTTTAGTTGCCCTGTAAAGCCTACTAATCTGATTACCGGCAATTTATGTTAACTTTCAATAGCTTTCTTAAATTTTCTTATTTTAAGCTATTTTATCTTACGTTTGCTTACTTGAGACTTTCTGTTGTAATCAGGTTTATTGTCAAACGCGGAGTCTAAATTGGCGCGCGCCTAATCAAAAAACCAGTGCTACACGATTCCACAGTATTGTCACATGTTATCTAGCGTCATACATTTAAAGTTTCAAGCTAAGGTTCAAGCTTTAATTTGAACCCACGTACAGTATTGTATCACGTCCCGTTTCCTTGTGACAGAGGTTCAAAAAGACAGAGGGCCAAAAACGCGTTTTTTCACATTTTGCCCGCCATTTTTTCAAAAACATGACGTAATGGAACATTTTGGATTTCAAATTTGTAATCTACGGGAAAAATCCTATCGAAATCATGTGTCACTCTTTTTGTGACAAAAAAAGTCGCAAAATGTAGACTAGTGTTATTATGACTTCGTAATCTCGTGATTATTATGATTTTGATACTACAAAGATAAAATATCATGAAATAATCTTTTCTATTTCTAGAATACAATAATATAACTATTACGTTGTTCTGATATAATAAAATATAATGTGCAATATAACATTTACATTATATGTAACATATACTTGTAAGTCGACTTTCACCTTCATACTAATTAAAAATGTTTTGTGTCAATGAATATGATTTATTATGCATTAGGTTTCTATGCAGGTTGACCAATACATAACATAATCTAACAAAAATATGTCGCAACTTTTATGTAAATAATTCACAGTGCCATCTATAATATATGTGAACGATGGAAATTTTTGCACACCCCTGATATTTCTATTATACTTTAACCCGTTATAAATGTGTTATATTGCATGTTATATTTCGTTTCATTACTGTCATGTAATAGTTATACAGGGTGTCTTTTTAATTTCAACAGGCAAATATTTTGAAAATGTGCTACTTTACAAAAAAATGTTTCAGATAAAAGTTGTATAGTTTAAAGGGAGTCGTATAATGGTGCCCTTGGTTTGACTTTAAAACATATATTTAAGGCCAACTTAATTTTTTCAAATGGAAACTCCAATTTTTTATTATATCTTCTTTTTCTATCAATTAATTTTAACAACTTTTGTCTGAAACATGTTTTTATTTGCCTAATATTTTTTGAGATATTTAAGAAAAACTTGGTAACTTTTTCAATGTTTAACTTTCAATATTTCGCTAACTATCAGTCGGAACTATTTGTCAGAAGAACAAATAGTACTAGACATTTTTATTTTATTTGGTCTCAAAAATATATTAGATATATAGCATCCTGACTTTTATTAATTTGATGATTTTGAAATTTCCAAAAGTCGATAAGTTAACAAAAGTTAGGACACTATTGTAACAATATATTCTTGAGACCAAGTAGAATAAAAAAGTGTACTAAAGTACTAGTAGAATAAAAAAGTATTATTATTTCTTTCGCCCAATAGTCAGCGAGATATCAAAAATATTGAAAAATTAAATATTGAAAAAGTTACCAAGTTTTTCTTAAATATCTTAAAAAATATTAGGTAAATAAAAAAATGTTTCAGACAAAAGTGGTTAAAATTAATTGGTAGGAAAAGAAAGTATAATAGAAAATTGGGGTTTCCATTGGAAAAAATTAAGTTGATTTTCATCTGACCTTAAATATACGTTTCAAGGTCAAACTAAGGGCACCATGTATGTCCCTCTTTAAAACATATAATTTTTATTTGAAACATTTTTTTGCAAAATTGCACATTTTCAAAATATTTACTTGTTAAGATTAAAAAGACACGCTGTATATCTGCGTTTGCTGTGCATATTCATCATTCCAATAGATCAAGAAGTCCAACACATGTCTGTTAAACCTACTTGTTTGTGACCTTATATAGCTTATACGTTGCTTATTATATATATAACAAATAATATAAAACTAAACTGTTCAGACAAACGATATATTATCCGTTTAGACATTTCTACTTAGATATGCAAAAAGTAAAATTACCCAATGCAATTGTGATTAAATTAATTGGATTGCGATGCCGTATTATATATTAGGAGGTTGAGGTAGTTCTGGTCTCTAGCAATAGATGGCTTTAGTAACAAATTAATAGTTAGTACGAATGTGAAATGTGGAAACATTGAAAAATTTGATATTTCTCTATAACATAGGATAGTTATAGTTTGCGCGTTATTTTTACTGATAGTTTCATTGTTTATATGTATCTAAAATGGACCGTACAAAATTACATTTTCGACATTCATTACTTTTTTGTTTGATTTGAAAAAATCAGCAACTGGAACTAATGAAATACTTGTTACAACTTATGGTGATCAAGCTGCATCATATTCCAACTGTAAATTTTAGTTTCAACGATTCAAAAGTGGTGATATCGATTTGAATAACAAAGATTGTACTGGTCAACCAAGAAAATTCGAAGATTCTGAATTGTAAGCATTATTGAATGAAAACGTCGCTTAAACGGAAAAACAATTAGCAGAACAACTAAATGTCGATAAATCAACAATTTCCAAATGCCTACACGCTATAAGAAAAATTCAAAAGGAATGGATTCCTTTTGACATGAATTTAATGAAAGTGTCATTGCAAATCGTTTGAATATCGCCATATCTTTACTTGCCAGATAGAAAAAAGAGATTTCTGTGGCGAATTGTAACTGGAGATGAAAAAACAAAGTAGATTTATTTTGATAATCCGAAGTGAAAAAATCATGGGTTAATTTAGGACAACTATCAACATCGACACCAAAACGGAACATTCACGGTCACAAAGCAATGCTCTGTATTTGGTAGGATATGAAAGGTGTGGTGTACTATGAGCTTCTAAAACCGAATAGAACAATTACGGGAAAGTGATACCAGCAACAATTGAACAAATTGAATGATGAATTGACACAAAAAAGACCAGTAATAGCCAGTAATAGACGGAAAGTGACTCTTTTGCACGATAATGTTCGTCCACATATTGCTTCAATCATTAAACATTGTTAGAACTCGAACGGGAAATCCGCACTCAGCGTATTCTCCGGACCTAGCACCATCTGATTATCATCTATTTCGATCGATGCAACATGCTTTGGCAGATACACATTTCAAAAATTACAAGGATGTGCAAAAATAGATGTCTGATTGGATTGCTTCGAAAGACAGATCGTTCTATCGTCATGGAATTGCTATATTACCAGAAAGATGGGAAAAAGCTAACAATCAGAGCTGACGACGGAAAATATTTTAGTTAATATAAATTTAACCATTTCTTTAAAACAAAGATAAAAAATTGACAAAGACCAAAATTAACTCAATCTCCTAATAAATAGGGTGACCCATTTTAATGTACCACCTCCAAAAACTTTCTTATTTTTGATTGTAGAAAAAAATACTTCCGACAAAAGTTGTTTGGTTTGAAGGGGGACATGATCACGACGTAAGTCGTGTCGCAGGTGTCATTGTTTTCAAGAAAATTTGAAGGTTACTAATTTCTTAAATGGAACTTAATTTTTTTCTTCACATAAAAGTTGTAGATCTCGTCGAGACATTTAAAAACCATAATTGTCTTTTGCATAAGCCGTTTCAGAGATATGAAATTTTAAAGTTTATGAAGCCCAGACTGACTCCACCTGTATTGTTCGTGCAAAAAGATTTAATGGTCGTGCTAAACTCTTACTACTCTAAATTTCTACCCACTATCCTACTTTTAGCGCTATCCAGGAACAACGATATGGACGTAGAAGGTTTCTATTCCCTTTGGGGCGCTTGATTTACGTGAGTCCCCTTGCCTCTCATGTCTATGCAATTTCTTATCGCAAATGTTCAAACACACCTCCATTTTGATCGATACATTGTGTCACGCGTAATCGAAAATTATTTTCGACTCTTTGCAATGACCGACTAGGCCGCGCTATTGCCCAAGTGGCTGTAATGCTCCTCCAATCATCCGTCACAATGTGCGCTCATTCGTCAGATTTCTATAATTACTAACTTGATAACTATTGCAAATATCGCAAAATGGTTTGGAGCTTTTATATTTGTTTTAATCAGTTCTATGCTTTTATTTGTTATGGCTATATAAGTTACCGAATACCCTATACATATAGGGTATCTGAGAAATTTTGGACCAATCAATTTATATAGGTAGAACAAGTGAAATTGAACAATAAAGTCATATAAAATTTTCCAAGAATCGTAATAGTTATTAAGTTAAAACATCTGAGCCAATAAGCACGCGGACCGGATTTGACAGAAATATAAAGACAATAGATAAGAGAAATGACTTACTTCTGAATACTCGTAGCGAAAACAATCAGCTGATGACCGAGTAACGCATCAACTGCTCTATAGTTATGTACTAAACACCCAATCTCACGTAACTTTTGCACTGCACATATAACATATAGAACAACTGATGCGTTAATGCATCTTGCCGTTGAAGACAAGGAAAGGATATTGCGTGCTGACCCGCCTCATATAATCGACTGATTGTCTTTGCTATGAGTGTTCAGAAGTAAGTCATTTATCTCATCTATTGTCTTTATACTTCTGTCGAGTCTGGTCTACCGTTTTCCGTACGCTTATTGGCTCAGATGTTTTAACTTAATAACTATTACGATTCTTAGAAAATTTTATATGACTTTATTGTTCCATTTCCATTTATTCTATCTGTACAAAATGGTTGGTCCAAAATTTCTTAGACACTCTGTACACAGGATGTCGCAGAATAATTTTTACTCATAGTTCATGAAGACATAGAGTGGCTTAAGACAAACATAAAAGTTCCATACCGTTTTGTGCATATTCGCAATTATGGAGTTATTAATGACAGAAATCCGAGGAGTGAGCGCATGTTAAAATCGATGATATGTATGATCAACATATGTATGATACTCATCATACTTCATGTGTATAATTATTATATTTGAATTAATTTCTTAGAAAAATTGATTAACACAAATTAATTAATTATATCTAATTACCGATAATTCTTTAGAATAATTCGCCTTACCCTATTAAATTTATCGGTGTGACTACCATTTTTGTGTTTGCGATGACGTCTTTTTTCTCGAACCTTCCTATTAAGAGGAAGTTTAGCACGCACCGCTGGCGGATGCACAGTAACACCTTCCGCACCTTCTGGCGGAAGTCGCACTGTTTCCGTCGTAGAACTATGGATTATTGTAACAGACTTTAATTTCAGATCCGGTCGCTTGCCCAACAATCTTATGCTGACCACCTAATATAGAAAAAACAGATTTTTGTTTATTATATTATATATTATATTTTTATTCCGTATTATACTATATTTTTATTATATTTTGTAGATATAATTTTATATTTTTTACTTATTTTTTTGCTTTAATAATATGCAAATTTACAAATATGCAAAAATAATGAAGATACAATTTTTTATAGCAGTTGCATGAATTTTATAATTAACAATATGCAATAACAATTTAAAAGTAGAAAATATGGTATATATTGCCATTTTATGTATTTTTATTATCGTAAGTATAAAAATATAATACAAAGTCGACAAAAGTTTTGTACGATTTTCACAAAAAAAATTCTTAATTATTCAAGATGTCTTGAAATGAAAGGAACAATATAGTCGATATAGAACGATATAGTCTGAATGGATATCGGGAAAATATAGTGAATTAAAGCAAAACATCTGAATTGAAATCTAATAATTTTGACGATAATTTTTTTGAGGTAATTAAAACATATATGATCTTGCATTATGATGAAAAATAATATCTTTATGATTCTGAAATAATTCTGTAAATAATCAAACATGTCAGAAGTGATTTGCCAATTTTTGAATAAAAATTTTTTGAATAAAAAATTTTTGAATAAAAATTTTTGAATAAAAATTTTTGAATAAAAATTTTTGAATAAAAAATTAAAAAAAATTTCTTTTTGGAAAATTCTCCATATTCAGAAATTCTTTCCTCAGTTGATGACAATCAATTTTAGTTTACTATATTAGTTAAAAATAAACAGTGCATTATCATAAGAGAGATTGATCATATTTTAAATATCCTATGCATCAATTGTAATATATTTAAAGGGACTTGGATACATTAATTAATATAATGTATGGCATCTTATGTAAGAATTGAGTGAGAAGAATCGTTTAGATTGAGTCTTTATTTGCAATTTGCTCTATAAACATAATGAAAATGTTATGAGTTATTTTTTGTACGTTTAGTGATAGGCATTATAAAAAATGGATCACTTGTAACAATATTATAAAGAAAATATTTTTGGATAAAAAACCAACCTCTATTAGCGCAATCCAATGTTTTATCTAAAAAGTTATTCTTTGTTTGGTGAGATTGAAAGAGAACAGTAACTTATGAGCTTTTACTAAACGAAACTATTAATTTTCTACTAATAAAATAGAATAATGAAAAACAATATTTGCAATTAAGCCAGTTAAGCCAGTTAAATCCAGAAATCAATAAAAATCATCCGAAATTCATAAATTATAAAGATATTATTTTTCATCATAACAATACAAAACTGTATATGTGTTATAAAAAAAATGTTAAATTTCGGTTAGGATATTTTACTTAACCATAAAATATGGTCGGATAATGAAAAACCAATCCAATTCTACATTCATGAAATAATAAATATATTTCATGATATTTATAATGAAGAAAGTGGCTTGACATTGTCCAAGAAAGTGATATTTTATCGATTAAAATTGCATTTTAATATTTAATTTTTGAGTTTTAATTGCTGTAAAAGATCTGAACGAACTTTCTGACTAACTAAACATATTTCTCTAATGCTTTAACCCTTTGGCTGCCAGCAGGCCGATCTATCGGCCCGCGATATGTATGCGAAAACTCCCACGGACTAATGCGTCGACTCCGTGTATTTTTACATTCAGATTATCGCTCCTCTGAGTGTCAAGTTGCTTTCACTCACACTTAATCATTGTCTTTAATGCCTAGTGTTGTATTGTTTGAAAAAAAATAAATACTAAAACTTTCTTCCAAAAAGTCGATTTTTTCTTTATAAAGCAATTTATAGAAGGTGCATATCAAATCGGCCCTGGCAGTCTTCGCATATATCGCATAGATGAGCCTGGCAGTAAAAGAGTTAATGATACTTTAATCAGATATATTTTTGGCATTTTTTGGAATTGTGATATTTCTGTAATATGTAATAATATACAATTGTGATACATATTTAATAAAGCAAATTATTCTAAAACATACACTATGATGTTATGAAACCACTTTAATGTTTCTATATTTATTTTCATATTTAGCAACAATTCTTTTCCGTAGAAGTTACTAGCAATAAACAGTTTCGTGATATATGAAATATGTTGCATAATTTTACATTTTTCAATTATTTATATAAAAATATATTCGTTCTGTTTTTATATAATATAATAATCAAATGTTGTTGCAAAACACTAATATAGCTAATAAATATAAAAAATGAAAGGAAGATAATAAATAAATAAATAAATAAATAAAAAATAATTAAAAGAAAACAAATAGATAAAAAAATAAGTAGTAAAAAATAAAGTTAAATAAAAGTTCAAAACTTAATAACTCAATAATTAATAACCCAATAATAAATTAAATTAAAAACGATATTTTTAATAACGTACCAATAATGATATTGCCGCTAAAATTATTAGAGCTGCGGCATACCAATGTTCAGCTACCCACCGCTTGAAAGTGGTAAGACTCTCATCGGATAAAAGAAGCTTTCTTAAAGTTGCTAATGGCCCACTAGGATCAACCTGAAAAAAGAATATTTTAATTAACATCATTATTTCATTCGCTTTTTATTTGATAATACAATTTGAGAATACAATTTCATATACCTCACGACATTTTTTAAAGACATCACAGTAACCATTGTAATCGTTGCAGGGAGTGCCCGGTTTTGAAAACATATCGGGGATATCATATGGTGGAGAATTCCAATCAAAGGACGATCTATAAAAAAATATCCCGTAAAAGAAATAGTTGATCCTATAATTTGTTAAGGAATTATTATTATAACCGTAGTTACTCAATAAATAAAAAATCATTAATATAATATTTTTACACTGATGTTCAAAAACACAACATTATCAAATATGTAGATATTAGTGTATAAAACATCATTATGAATATACTTTAGTCGCAATCTTGAAATTTCGGTAATGATAAAAAAGAAATATTATAATGTTATGCTGTGAAGTTTTTTTATTTCTATATATTTTTTTCAGATATTAATAAAACAATTAAATACAATATATACTGGATGTCCCATTTTAATGTCCCACCCCAAGTAACTCTTCAGTATTGAAGTTTCAAGGAAAATTATCTGAATAAAAGTTGTAGGGATTTAAGTGAGCTATCTTATGAAAATAGAGGTCAAGGTCAGCATACTTTGACCTCTATTTTCAAGGTCATTTAAAGGTCAACTTGCGTTTTTAAATGGGAACTCTTATTTTTTATTACTTTTTTTTCTACTAGTTAATTTGAACAACTTTTGTCTAACACATTTTTTTATTTGTCTAATAGTTTTTGAGATATTTGAGGAAAACTTGATAACTTTTTCAATATTTAACTTACGATATTTCACTAATTATTTGCCGGAAGAAAAACAAGAATATATTGTTACAATAGTGCCCTGCTTTTTTTGTTAATTTTGTGATTTTGAAATTTCCAAAAATCAGTAAGTTAACAAAAGTCAATGCGCTATTATAACAATATACTTGAGACTAAATAAAGCAAGAAAGTCTCGTACCACTTTTTCTTCCGACAAATAGTTAGCGAGATATTGTAAGTTTAATATTGAAAATGTTATCAGGTTTTCCTCAAATATCTCAAAAAATATTAGGCAAATAAAAAATGCGTTAGACAAAAGTTGTTCAAATTAATTAGTAGAAAAAAAAGTGTAATAAAAAATAAGGGTTCCCATTTAAAAAACGCAAGTTCAAACCTTCAAATGACCTTGAAAATAGAGGTCAAGGTCAACATAAGGTAGCTCACTTAAATCCCTACAACTTTTATTCAGATCATTTTCCTTAAAACTTCAATACTGAGTTATTTAGAGTGAGACATTAAAATGGGACACCCTATATACAAGGTGTTCCATAATTGTAACACACCAACTCCATAGGAGTGTAGAGCTAAGTGAGAGGAATGAAAAAGTTCTGTTCCATTTAGCCATATCTCGCATAGTTTTTTAGTAATAACCGCGTAAAGTTTGGCGTTTGTCACGCCCAGCACGGCCTTAGACGCTGTGCGGCGAGCTGTGTGCGTCAAAGCTGAGCGATAACACGGCTCGCGCTGACCATCGCGCGGCGGCAAAGCGCCAAGATGCCATTGCGACAATCAGTGAGACGCGTTATCGCTTAGCTTCAATGCATACAGCTCGCCACAGAGCGTCTATAGGCCGTGATGGGCATGACAAACGCCAAACTTTTCACGGTTATTACTAAAAAAACTATGCGAGATATCGCTAAATGGAACAGGACTTTTTCGTTCCTCTCGCTTAGCTCTACACCCCTATGGAGTTGATGTGTTACAATTATGGGACACCTTATATACAGGGTGTCTCAGAACTTTGGCACACGGGCTCCGTAGGACACAGAGCTAAGTGAGAGGAACAAAAAAGTCCTGTACCATAATGTGAAAATCGTAATAGTTTTTTAATTATTGGTCTGTTCTTTGTAGCTGCACTGCTGAACTGGTGCAATAAGCTAGAATGAGAAAACCTATATTTGTCTCACTTTAACTTATTGCACCAGTTCAACAGTGCAGCTACAAAGAACAGACCATATAATAGCGCAAAGTTAGGCATATTCTACGCCCAGCGCGGCCTATAGACGCTCCGCGGCAAGCTAGAGGCTGAGCGATAATGCGTCTCGCGCTGACTATCACGATGGCATCTTGGCGCTTTGATGCCGCGCGACGGTCAGCGCGAGCCGCGTTACCGCTCAGCCCCCACGCACACAGCTTGCCGCGGAGCGTCTATAGGCCGCGCTGGGCGTGGAAAACGCCTAATTTTGCACTGTTATAATTAAAAAACTATTACGATTTTCACATTATGGCAGAGGACTTTTCTGTTCCTCTCACTTAGCTTTATATCCCTACGGAGCCCGTGTGCCAAAATTTTGAGACACCCTGTCGCGTAGGTAAACAGCGAGATTTGTAATATTAAAAGACAATAAAAAAGAAAAATATTATAACGAAATTCTTATAATTTTAACATTATATTAATTAAGATCAAAAATTTTATCAATAATTTTAAAAAGTATATGGGTTACATTAACCTCAGTTAAATTAATATTAAATAATATTAAAATAATGTTAAAAATATTTATAATAAAGTTTTTAAAGCACCAAATATTTGGTAATTATATCCAACAACTTTTTCAAAATATCTATTTAGTATTATTTAAAATCGTTTAAAAAGTACACATAAATTATTTAAATGTTAATTAAAATTTTTTATTTATTAAATGGTAATTTGTTTTTCAGAAACTTTTGTATAAACTATTATATTAATAAAATAACGTACAGACACGGTTGATTTTCACCAGGATGTCGACAACAGAGCTCGCAAGCTTTCATCGGTGAGTCATTTGAACCTGGTATGCATTGACAGGATTCTAATCCATATGCTAAGCAAATGCTACCAGTGCACTCCTGCAAAAGGAGATACCACTTTTATGGTCGTAAAATGAATCATTTCGCTTAACAAGAGCACGTCTATGTTCTTAATATTTGATTAATAGCTGAGATATCTACCCCCATGAAGCAAACCAGCTCACTGTTGCATATAGTTTTATTAGGCTTATTATTGGATGGTGGACAATTTGGAGAACGGCCATTGCAGAAGCTTGCATCGCGGCAACCGTTGTCTTCTCTGCACTTATTCCCGAAACGGAGAGTACAATCAGTATTACAGCACGGACCCTGAAAAGCAGGCAAATGAAATTTCAGACATAGATTAGAAGATAAATTAAAATTATCTCAATTGGTGCATTATACTGCTCAATATATATATATTCAATATATACTGGTCAAGTATATTATGCATATCAATAAGGAATACATTATATCAAGTGTAAAAAAGAATTTTTAAATATTCCTATGTGAAAACACGGTAAAATAATTTAAATCTAAAATATTTTATTGTCTTTTTGTGATTACGTAGTGTAAATGCCGAACTAAAAGATCTGACATGTCATTTATTCAACTAATAAAATTAATTCCAAATTTTATTTAATTCAATAATAAGAGAGAGAAAGAGAGGAGGGGAAAGAAAGAATGAAGAGGAGAGGGAAGGAGAGAGAGGATAGTAATGGATAACTTTCCTATATTCAACATTATATCATATTTCAACATTATTATATACAACATTATATCATTATATCATATTCTTTATGAATTTTAATAAAAAGAGAACGCTGCGAGAACATCACAAACTGCTCTACATACAGAGTGTCTCATTTTAAATAAGCCAGATAAAAATCTCGAAAAATATGAAAGATACTAAGAAACGATCGTCCTTTGGAAATTTCAAAATCATTAAATTAATAAAAGTCAGGGCTATTGTAACAATATATTCTTGAGACCATGTAATGTAAAAAAGTCTAGTATCACTGTTTCTTCCGACAAAGAGTTAGCAAGATATCGTAAGTTAAATATTGAAAAAGTTACAAAGTTTTTCTTAAATATCTAAAAAATATTAGGCAAATAAAAAAATGTGTCAGGCAAAAGTTGCTAAAATTAATTGGTAGAAAAAGATGATATAATAAAAAATTGTGGTTTCCATTTAAGAAAAGTAATGATCAGTAAATATCTCGAAAGTGGTGCCATTTGTAAACAAAATAGTATAGTTATTGTTTTATGTCCCCTTTGAAATCATACAACTTTTGTTCGAAACATTTTTGCTGAAAATGCTTCGTTAAAGAATTATCGAGGTGCGTTTTTTAAAATGGGACACCCTTATACAGCGTGTCTCATAACTAATGTTGCAGAGCTCGTGAAGACATAGAGCGGTTTAAGACAAACATAAAAGTACCGTTTTGCGAGATTCGCAATAATTATTGAGTTATTAATGACAGAAATCTGACGAGTAAGCGCGCACCGAAATGGATTGGAAAAGCGTCGCAGCCTCTCGGGTCACAGTGCGGCCCAATCGATCTAGCAACTGTTGGTGGCGTGCAGCGAGACGTAGGTGTGGCGAAATAAAACACGAATAACGGCGTGTTTCCCTTCGCCGCGCACTGGCAACAGTTGCTGGATCGACTGGGCCGCGCTCTTTTTTGTTGAAATGGCTGCAACGCTTCTCCAATCATCTATGTCGGCGCGCTCCCACTCCTCAGATTTCTGTTATTAATAACTCGATAATTATTGCAAATCTCGCAAAACGGTATAGGACTTATATGTTTGTCTTAAACTGTTCTATGTCTCTACGAGCTCTGCAACATTAGTTATGAGACACCCTGTATATAAACTTGAAACTTTAACAACAATCAATGCCAGCTAATAACCATTAACTAAATCAATTCACATATATGTGGAGTCGGCCAATAACCACTAACTAAATCAACTTACATATACGTGAAGTCAGCCAGTAGACACAAGCTCAGCGAACTCACGTATACGTGAGTCCGGCCGATAATCGCTAGCTCAAAGAACTCACGTATATGTGAGTCCGGCCGTCGAAGTATTAAGTACTCAACTATACGTAAATGCACATAAAAATGTGAATAATTTGTTGAGAACTTGTACAAATACCGATATTCGACATTTGAAATAAAAAAGCGAGTAAATAGAACTTAAGATTAAATGTTAAGATCATTTTTAAATTCACTTGAAAAGTAAAATAAAAGCCATATCTTTTATGTCGAATATTCTACATACTTGACTAGGGCTGCACACGGCGCGTGAAGTAAGTTTGCACGGGGGCTCCTCGGGCAGTTGGTAACGACGCTGAGGGAAACAGCACAAGTCTCTGCAATCTTCCTCCCAACCGCAATCGCATTCTTCCCCTTCTTCTACAACGCCATTGCCACACAGCGATACTTTCGGATCTACGCACAATGTAAATATTATCAAGTATAGAGTGCAATGCATAGCGGAGTAATTTGAAAAACAGATGAAGATTCGATATTTCATCGCACAATGTCTAACACTAATATGACGATATATTAAAGAAATTTCGTAAATAACTAACCGGTAAAGCACCCTTTCAGCGAACGTGCCTTACTGTTCAGTACAGGATTTATAGAATTCAAACTACACGGACTGAAGCGGTTGTTGTTGCGCTTGTCACCACTAGTAGCACGGGCGAACATTATAAAATTGCCATCCTCGCCACCCGGTGTACATTCTTCAGGATCATGCTATTACGGGACAAATAAGATATAATAACGAACTTATTTTTCAATAGGGATGATTGATGGGATGTCATGTTATACGTCGTATACTACTGTGTATAGTACAGAATGCAGAAACAGAAATAGATATACATACTGGTGAGCCAAAATTGTGGCCAATCTCGTGAGCTAAAGTAACGTGAGAAACCGCAGGTGGTACATGCTTTCCGTAATTCAACAAAGTAACTATGCCGGTGTTTAAGGACTTCATGCTGCCACGATAAAGCTGCAACATTCATTATTTCGTCGGTTATTAATCATTATATTACATCATATTGGACTGTATCTTGAATCTGTATTCATAATATGTTTTCATGTATTTATCAATTTATACAAAGTAGGGGGTTATAAGTTTACAACCCGAAGTGTGAAGATAGATTGGGTTAAGACAAACATAAAAGTCCCATACCGTTTTGCGAGATTCGCAATAATTATCGAGTTATTAGTGACAGAAATTTGAGGAGTGGAAGCGCGCCGGCATAGATGATTGGAGAAGCGTTGCAAGCTGCTTAGGCCGCAGAACGGCCCAGTCGATCCAACAACTATTGCCGGTGCGCGGCGAGGGAAAAGACGATGCGCCGCTATTCGTTGTTTTATCTCGCCGGACCTACGTCTCGCCGCACGCCGCCAACAGTTGCTGGGTCGAGTGGGCCGCGCTGTGGTCTGAGTAGCTGCAACGCTTCTCCAATCATCTATGTCGGCGCGCTCCCATTCCTCAGATTTCTGTCATTAATAACTCTGTCATTAATAACGATAATTATTGCGAATCTCGCAAAACGGTATGGGACTTTTATGTTTGTCTTAACCTAATCTACCTTCACACTTCGGGTTGTAAATTTATAATTCCCCTATATATTCGATATTGATACCGATATCAATATTCAATTTGTATATATTTATATATTTATCAACATTTATATATTTTACAACTTACTCCGTTCTTTTCACATACACCTCCGGCATTTTTGAGATCGCCTGTCCAAGCCAAGCCCAAAGTTCCCATCTCGAAATCCCGATATGTAAACATGTAAGCTAGACAAAATGTGTCATAGTCTTCCTCTGTAATGTAACAAACGTTCGATTAAGGCAGTGCTGGGAATTAAGTGAGCAGTACGAGCCGATTTCAGAGGCAACGCTCGCGCTTCCCCCACTACCTCTCGAAGCGCGGCGGCCGAGCTGCCGATCGCGCGTGAGACGCCTCTCTGCCTCAGGAACGATCTCATATACGATATAAGATGAGATCGCACCCTCCGTCAAACCAAAATTAAAATATTTATTTATCCTTAAAAAATAATTCTTACTGTCATTAATGATGAAATATTACGCTTTTATTTCTAATATAATAAATTCTCTTTAATAAAAATATAGTGATGACAATAATTAAAAATATAATTATTAAAATTTTATTAATAGATTTCCACATCACCCATGAGGTACTATTGTTGATGCGTTTTTTTAAGTGGTTTCCCCAGTAGGCCTACTCCACTAAAAATTAATGAAAATGAAATATATGGCTCAACAGGAAAGCGAAATGCTACATCGTGAGAAATATAAAAACGAAAGAGGAAGAATAAGTACAGAGCGCAAAATAGCCAATTTTTATAAAAATATTAATTGGATTTTCTTAAAAAAAAAAAAAAAAAAAAAAAAAAAAAAAACGCACCAACAATAGTACCTCATGGGTGATGTGGAAATCTATTAATAAAATTTTAATAATTATATTTTTAATTATTGTCATCACTATATTATTATTAAAGAGAATTTATTATATTAGAAATAAAAGCGTAATATTTCATCATTAAGAGTTCATCATTAAGAATTATTTTTTTAAGGATAAATAAATATTTTAATTTTGGTTTGACGGAGGGTGCGATCTCATCTTATATCGTATATGAGACCTTTCCTGAGGCAGAGCGTCTCACGCGCGATCGGCGGCTCGGCCGCCGCACTTCGAGAGATAGTGGGAGAAGCGCGGGCGTTGCCTCTGAAATCGGCTCGCGCTGCTCACTTAATTCCCAGCATTGGATTAAGGTATTGTATTAACCTATAGTGATATATCATCGCATTGGGATTAACAAAGAACAATAGATTTTTAGACTAATAATAGTATACGTATAAGATTCAGCTAGAAGTATTGAAGCCAAATATAGGAGGAAGGAAGAAAGGTAATATAGATTTTTACCGGAGAAAAGTTCCAAATATTTTTCTACGCCATAATTGCCCGGAAAACGATAATTAGGATCTCTCAATGCGTCTTCACTGTGCACTTTTATGCGTTTTATCATAAAACCAATATTATCCGGTTGTCCATCTTGATTAAAATCTAAAAGAAGACAATATATCGTTATTTATATGTTTTCTTCTCGATTTCATAAATAAAAATAAGTAATTTGTTTAAATAATAGATTATTCGCTCATTATTTTATTAGTTTCCTTCTTCGCCTTTTATTTAACATATTATTGGATTGTTCGGAAAGTAATTTCGGTTTTTTTAAATAGATGGTATTGCTTTTTTCAAATAGATGTTATCCAAATTGATGATTGCTTTTTTAAACAGTTAACCTCATTCTAAATCAGAAAATTATTTTATATTTTTACAACGCACATTTCAGCTTCATTTACAAAAAAGTTGTTTTGGAATCTATCAACTTATTTTTGTTTGACGTCATATCAAAAATGGAAAACCAACGTGAGCATTTTCATCATATTTTGCTTTTTTAATTACCATAAAAGCAAAAATGCAGCGCAAGCAAGGAAAAATTGCTATGTGCTGTGTGTGGAGAGGATGTGTTGATTGAACGCCAATGTCAGAATTAATTTTCGAAATTTCGACCTCAAAGATGCACGTTCTGGAAGACCAATTGAGGCTGATAAAACCCAAATAAAGGTATTAGTGGATCAAATGGTGGTGCAAATCGTCATTTAACAACACGGAAAATTGCTGAGTGATTGAATTGATCGAATTCGACCATGCATGAACATTTGAAAAAATTTGGTTTCGTTTCAAAGCTTAATATTTGGGTTTCACATGCTCTCAAAGAAAGAGATTTGATTCGCATTACTATCTGCGATTTACTGTTGAAACGTGAGAAAAACGATCCATTTCTGAAGCGACTCTTAACTGGAGATAAAAAATAAATTGTGTACAACAATATTAAACGCAAAAGATCATGGAGCAGACGTGATGAACTAGCTCAAGGAACATCGAAAGCTGATATTCATCAAAAGAAGGTAATGCTCTCTGTTTGGTGGAATTGGAAAGGAATAATTTTTTTTTAGCTGCTACCAAACAACCAAACAATTGATTCGAATGTATATTGTCATCAATTGAACAAATTGAATGATTTCATCAAGCAGAAGAGACCAGAACTGACGAACAGAAAAGGTGCTGTATTTTATCATGACTACGCTAGACCTTAGACAAGTTTAATGATTCGCCAGAAGCACTTGGATGGGATTTGTTACAGCATACACCATATTCATCTGATCTGGCACCATTCGATTATCACTTGTTTCAATCATTGCGAAATTCTTTGGATGGTAAAAATTTCAATTCAAATAAAGGTGTCAAAACCCACTTAATTCAATTTTTTGCTAATAAAAACAAGAAGTTCTACGAGCGTAGAATCATATTATTACCCCAAAGATGGCAAAAGGTGTTAGAACACAATGATCAATACTTAACAAAATAAAACTTTTTTCATTCTGTTAAAAATATCGCCTTTCATTTTTACGCAAAAAACCGAAATTATTTTTCGATCAACTTAATATTATTTGGCAATCACGGTAAATGTATTAAATCATTTTTCCATTGTACGCGTACATAGCATCATCATGATAGGAACTCACCGGTGTGTTTGTAAATAGAGTTGACTCTCTGCACATGCCTCGTCATCACTTCGATACAGGCTTCCTCCGTGCCATATCGCGCGAAAAATTGATGGTCCCCTTGCAAATAAAGCATGCAAGTAGTTTTCCGGGGATCTACCGTCGCACGTTTGTGCAGATGCCTCGTAATCCGATCTCTTCCCTTTATCCTGCGCACAAGGACAAAAATAAGGTTATTTTATAGCATAATAAAAAATATTGTTCACCTCGTTACTCTTTCCTGTGTGTTTTGAAACACTCCAAGCACACTTGTCTGCATCCTATTTTAACTTAAGATTCTTTATAACTTAACTAAGGCTGTACTAGAACCGGAATAGTGCAAGTGCGAATTGACGAGTGAAAGAATGCAGTTAGGCAATCAAGAGCTGTAAGATTTCTAATTTTTTATATGTGCTGTTTTCTGTGGCCTTTACTCTTCATTTCACTTAACTCGAGAAACGAAATCTACAGAATTTGTAGATATTTGCGTGTTCAGATAAAAATCAATCCACTCAGTTATCCATAATTGAGTATCAGTGTATTTATATACAGAGTCTCGTTTTAACTTTTGCATCAAAATATTTCGAAAAAACAAGTATTTAAAAATAACACCAAGAGACCAAACCTTTAGGAAACTGAAGATCTAATAGATATATTAGGTGCTTGAATTAATTCTCGCTGTTGATTAATAAAGATCAGTAGTTATGCTATTTCAATATGGCCGAAAGTGACTGTTGCTGTATATGAAAGTACTGTCAATAGGCTTTAATAATCAGTGTGTGACATTAGATCGAAGTGCAAAGAACACAATTTTTTACTGCATTGAAGATGTCGAGTTTCGTATCAAGAAAAGAGCATTTACGGGAAGCATCATTTTTCTGCTTTCATCTCAAGAAATCTACTGCTGAAAGTCATTGTTTGTTAATGGAGGTTATGGGGAGCATGCTCTATCTGAAACAACAAAGCAAAGATGGTTTAGACGATTCAAAGACAACGATTTTGACGTGAATGACAAAGAGCGCTCTAGTCGAAAAAGTTTGAAGATGGAGAATTGGAAGCATTACTGGAAAAAGATTCATGTTAGACGCTCAAAGAGTTGTCGGAAACACTAAATGTCGATGAGTCAACTGTTAGCAAACATTTAAAAGCAATAGGAATGATCCAGAAGCTAAGAAACTAGGTCTCACATAAATTGAGAAAAAAGACGTTGCGAAACGTTTAATCCTTTGTGAATTGCTGCTTCGAAGACAAAAACGGAAGTCTTTACATCGAAGGGAGTTTTTACATCGAATTGTGACTGGTAATGAAAAATGGATTCATTACAACAATCCTAAGCGCAAGAAATCATGGGTACGGCGAACCATTAACATCAATGCCACAACAGGATATTCCTGGGAAGAAGGTCATGCTGTGCATTTGGGATCAAGTCAATGTAGTGTATTATGAGCTGCTGCAACCGAATAAAACCATTAATGCTGAACGGTACCGACGACAATTACTCAACTTGAATCGAGCACTCAAAGAAAAACACCCGTAATATACCAAGATATGACAAAATTATTCTTCTCCGTGACAATGCTAGATCACATGTTACAAAACCAATGAAGGAAATTGTACGGATAGTGAAGATTATATTTCCCGCGCGAGAGAACGCGTGCACGAGGATGCGAGTAGCGACATGCACGTAGAGAGACTAAGCGAGAGCTAGGTGGTGCAGTTAGACGGGTTTGTAGCGGTAGAGAGATAGATTGAGAGATGAGAAGTATAGCGAGAGATTAGGAGGTCGAGACCAAGTTTTTGTATTTTAAAACAGAATATATTCTCTAAGAAGTGTATCCACGATCGTGTCTGATTTACAACTTAATCTGAAGGAGCAACCCCTCCTGGAACTATCCTATAGGCGATACGCCTCACAGAGTCAACGACACAACAGAAATCTTGGAGGCACTTGGATGGGATGTCTTACCCCACCCGCCCTATTCATCAGACGTTGCTCCTTCAGATTACCATTTGTTTCGGTCGATGCAGCATGACCTTTCTGAGCAGCATTTCAGATCTTTCGAAGATATCAAAAAATGGCTCGATGACTGGATCGCCTTAAAAAAACCTGAATTTTTCTACCGCAGAATCTATGTATTACCCGAAAAGTAGGAAAAGATTATAATTTCCGAAAGGCAATACTTCAAATAAAATATAATGTACCGTTCTTTTGAAATAAACATGAGTTATTGTTGCAAAAAACAGCGAGAATTAATTCAAGCACCTATAATATACCTGATAGATATAGATAACGATATATAGAATGCGTCACTAGAATCCAAACATGAAAATATTTTATCGAGAAAGCCCTTTATTATAGAAAAAGTATAAAAATACAAAATAATGCTTTTATATTTATATTGAGGAATTTTTCTAAAATCTTTTTATTCTATAATATGTAGCTTCCCTTTGCTTCAATCACGGCCTCAATTCTATTCCTAAAGCGCGAGTATGCTGTCTTCAAATGAGTCTTATCCATGGTTGCGAATGCTGCCTCAATAGCGACCTGGAAGGAGACCACGTTAGGATGTCTGAATTTGTTGAAAATCCTCTCGGTTACGCTCCATACGTAGTAATCGAAAGGGTTCAAGACGGGGTTGTTAAGAGGCCAGAAATTCTTGGATCACACACGAAGTAAATATATGAAAAAGTGGCCACGGACAAGTCTCGTAACCTTGACGATTTCAGAAAGCATCTGTTGAATCTTGAGGGCGTAGAACATGTATCTGAAGTCTTTTTAAATGATCCAAGGAACGTTATGCCCGTATTCATAGTCAGGCCTTATATTTAAGACTTCCTTAAGTTTATCTTCAGATGGTCTGTAGCCAATAAAATAATCCGTGCAGCATCTAAAGATGGATATAAAAAGGCCTAAAATATAAATATTGCTCATCTCCAAGACGCCAATTTTCTGAGTAAAGTCCCTGGATCTTCTAAAATGTGGTCTTGGGTTCTTTGAATAAGTTCTGAAGTCCGTGTTGCCTTCTCTTTCACTTGTATACTTCTCGCCATGGTCAGACTCCTCTGAGGCTGCGTACTTCTGAGCAACATTATACACTGTCGACTTAGGATATCCGAAGAAGTTTATTATTTCACTCGGCGTCCTTCCAGCGCAAAGAATATTCAATAATTGCCGTTCTCCAGATTATATTCTAAGCTGGACCTAACTGAACTCGGCCATTTCGAGGTAAATAACGTCTTACTCACGTTTCTGGCCTATCTTAACGCCAACTGTCACCTACTGCTGAACTCTAATATAGCAAGAAATTCGAATTCAAATTTGTACTCTCTGTATATATCTCCTATGTATCTACCTGCTATGTTAATAAAAAAAACTAAAAACACATATTGTGAAACCATAGATTCAGTAGTTCAGTTGATGTTTGCATTGGAGAGGGAATATTGACGTAATTCCCTCAGCACCTCACTAAGACCTACCAGGAAGATATCCTCGGAAAGGGGGGTTTAGCCAGTAAGAGTCCGGAGCATAACCCCCGCCTCTCCCCAAAGGGGTGGGGATATCCATGAGGATTTCCCCCCGAGGCCAAAAAAAATTGATGTTTGTAATATGTGGCATACAACTGAATATCATACATGCTATGGCTATTGCAGGATTGGGAAGTAGCGCGTTACTTATAACGCTGTTACTGGTATCGTTATTTTTTTGAGTAACGATTAGGTAACGCGGTTACCTAATTTTTTTTGTGTCAATAACGAAAGAGTAACGGCCATACACTTTTTTTTGTAACGAGTAACGAAACGTCCGTTACTTTAATCGTTAATTTTTATAAAATTAAACTTAATTGTATTTAATTTCTATGCATTTCTTGTTTTATGGTAGATTTAATGAAAACCAATAAAGATGGACTCACATATTGTTATCCATTGGCCGTAGTAGTACAAAAAGATTTAAAAGAAAGGTTGGTTTTTTTGATTAACACATATGTTCATCAAACAATAATCATCTGATCAAAAAGAAAAATCAATATGTTCATATTTAATTTCATTGATTTCATTTTTGTATTTTGATTTAGGTTTTGTACTACATTCGAAAATGAAGAATTGATAATTGCCAGCTGTTTGCACCCCAAATTCAAATTGAGTTGGTTAGCCGGAGATAAGCGAAAACTTGCGCAAACATATTTAAAAGATTTATTAGGAACTCCTTCAGCTAAACATTCTTTAATGTCTGATAAGCATGATGATAACGAAGACTTTTTTAATTTCAAACAGCAAATATCAAATGAGGAATCTGTCTATGATGAATGGCAAAGATTTTTAAAATCAACAGACACTAATGTCCAAATATTAAATTCATATCCACTAATTAAGAAACTTTTCATTAAGTACTTTACATTAAGTACAACATTTAATAACATAAAATAATCAAAATATTTAAATATATATATATATATATATATATATATATATATATAAATATATAGGGTGTTTCTGAATGGTTTGTACAAACTTTCAGGATATGTTCCAGGGACCAAAACAAGCAAAAAATGTCATATGAATATGGCATTGAAAACGTTTACTTATAAAGTTATGATGATTCGAAATTTTCCTGCAGTAGAAGAAAAGTTACGACAATTCAAAGAACTGTCTTAAGAAAAATTTTCTCTCTTCAAGATCAGATTCGAATAGTTCTGGAACAGTTCTTGGAGCACCATTGTTGGCTGTTACCGACCTGAATTACCTAAATTCTCATAATCGTCGATTAACTGCTGAACGTTTGATGATTTGGAGTTCGACAGTCTGGAAAAATTTGGAAAAATCTGGAAAAGGTTATTCTTTTGGGAATATTTGAAAACTCTTGTTTATTCTTCCCCAGTACCAGATGTTGCAACTCTTCGTCAGCATATCCTGGATGGCTGCGACATCATCCGTAATATATCTGGTATTTTCCAACGGTTTCGCCAATCAATGCGACAACGTGCACAGGCTTCCTTGGAATCTAACGGAGGCCATTTTGAGTATTTGTTATAGTAAGTATATTGTCTTGTTATATCCGTAGAAATAAATAAATATAGTTTGCAACTTTTTTTTTTATCACGGTGGGGAAATCCTCATGGATACCCCCGTCCCTTGGGGGGGGGGGGTTATGCCGGATTCTTACCGGCTAAAACCCCACCAGGGTGTCTACCAATCGGGCCGGAATATGAGGAGTCGGGGGAACTGCGCCGGCACTCCCTCCTCGAACACAGTTTGCAACTCCTATACGATTTAACGTTATAATTTCTTCTACTGCAGGAAAACTTCAAACCGTTATAACTCTAAAAAGAAGCATTTTCGATCCTATGTTTATATGACATTTTCTGCTTGTTTTGGTCTCTGGAACATATCCTGAAAGTTTGTACAGACCATTCAGAAACACCCTGTATATTTCTAATCATCTTATGTCCGATTTATATCTTGTCTTAGTACCTTTCTTATAATCATGTATTTACAACAAGAAATAGTAACGGAAAGTAACGGAGTAATATCGTTATTTTCAAGTAACAATAACGGTATTTTTTAAGACCCGTAACGAGTAACGGTAACGAGTTACTTTTAAAAAGTAATTTTCCCAACCCTGGCTATTGTAAGCCACTTAGCTGTGCATGCTGGCCATTAAACAGATATGAGTTTGATCACGTAATCATTTGTGACATTTAGTCAGAACGTTTCTACACGCAATGAAATATTCTTATATATTGTAAATCTAATTTATACCGCTTGTAATATAATACGAATCAAAATACGGTTAATAAACTGTTAACGTTACGGCTAAAAGTAAAAAAACATTTTGACAGCTTTTCATTAAAAATGTAAGATACTCACATGTCTGTATATGCAATATTGTCATTTTTTTCTGATGTTAACACTTCCGCGTCGTTCCGCTTGAAGAAGATACCATCATGTTGTTCGAACAAAGGCTCGTAGAATTCTTCAGAATTGTTATATCTATACCTGGAAAAATAGAATATTTACGGGCTTTAAATGTATATTTATAAGAAAAAGCACACAAGTATTCCTCTCCGATTTTAAAGAAACTTAGTGGATTTGTAGAAGGGATCAAAATATTCGATGCGTATCTTATTTATCGGCAACTAAATATGTTTAAAGTTTTTGATACTGTTTTGACGTCGTCTTGATAGTGACTTCAGAAGCGAAAAAATAATGCTAACAATTCTCACGTGACATTTTTAAGTAAAAATATATTTGTATGAAAAAATACTTTACATTACTAAATTATACTTGTAAAATAGTCAAAAAACTATGTCTTTGGAAACCTACTTCTAATTTTTTCCCAATTCTTTTTTCTTATTCACAAGTTTCTTTCTCTTTCTCCTTCTCACTCTCCTTTAGGCCGGGTCTACAATAAGTGTAGTAAGCTTTAAGCCTTAAGAAATTAACCAATTCTAGTCGATTTTTACAAGAATAATCGAATAAAGTTAGCCAGCTTTTTAAGGCTTAAAGCTTACTATATCTATTGTAGACCCGGCCTTAAACTTATAAAATCAAATTCTTGTATATCTCCCAAATTTTTTATCTATGTCGGATATGAGAGGAACGGAAGGGAACGATAGACACAAGTCCTCAAACGTGTCCGAGCGGCTCCGAAAGAGGCACAACTTACAAGGCGAGGGCGCATCGACCGGGAAATGGTTTAGAACGAAACTTACGAAGTTAATAGTATTTGACTACTAATAACTCATGGTAATAGCATACGATGTACTACCTCTTCGTTTCCGAGAAAAAACGGTCTAAAGAAAAGAGCCAACAAAGTGTACGAGTTAGTAAGAAAGGTATTCAACGAAGCGGTGCAGCGGAGCAGCGAAGGTAACGGACTACCGAGTTGACGGCTCAGATTCGATCCCTGCTGTATGGTTTTTTATTCTGTAAGCATAAAAATGAAACAGAAAACATTAATAATTAATAAAACTGTGTTTCTTAAATATATTAGTATTTGTTAAATATATTATTAATAATTTAAATTACAAAAAAACAGTAAATCTTATCTAACACGTCACTCAATAAGTTCTTCAATAAGCAATAGGATGACATAAATGGCGCTACTATTGACAAATCCATGATTTTTAGGAAGTACTAACCTTCAAATGATACGTGTCAAAATTTCATGACAATTGGACGTTTAGTTCACAAGTTACAATGGTTTTAGTGACGCATGACGTCGACTCGTTTTAGCAACACGTCGACGATTCAGCGGTTTGGTCCTGTTTGGAGCTGTTTCAGCGCAATAAAAAGGATTTTTTGATGCGGTATATGACAATGGATGAAACGTGGATCCATCACTACACTCCAGAGTCAAATCGGCAGGGAAAGCTCCAGGGAAAGAGATTTGGCTCCAATGAAGAAGTGATTACCGAAACTGAAGCCTTGCTAAAACGAGTCGACGTCGTGCGTCACTAAAACCACTGTAACTTGTGAACTAAACGTCCAATTGTCATAAAATTTTGACACGTATCATTTGAAGGTTAGTACTTCCTAAAAATCATATGGATTTGTCAATAGTAGCGCCATTTATATGTCATCCTACGAACTTATTGAGTGACACGTTATAAAATATATAGTGTATGAGAAAATTTTTATATAATAATTGCAATGGAAATAGGAGTAAAAATATATTAAGTTGTTATTATAATTATATAAAGGTGTAGTCAAAAGATCTTTCTTCTAGCGATTCTACATCAACTATTTTGCTTGTTGAAGGATTCTCTGACATTGTTATGATATTTGTAATTTAAATATGATCACCGAACTGCTCTGTATCATTAGTAAACGCACACTGCTGCTTGCTCTACTGACAACTGTTCCGACCCTCGAATCATTTCATCATTCTTAACGGTCGTTTAGAATGACACAAAGGAAGTTTTTGGAGGGGGATTGCCAGAAAAGATAAAGAGCTTCAACACAACATAGAGAGTTGTAATAGAAACAAATATTTTATATATACGATATAAGATTACGAAAAATGATCTCACACTAGTTTAATAGCACTCCTATATATTTCATAACAATATTTTTATTCCTATTTCCATTGCAATTATATAAAAATTTTCTCATACACTATATATTTTACAGATAAGATTTACGGTTTTTTTGCAATTTAAATTATTAATAATATATTTAATAAACACTAATATATTTAAGAAACGCAGTTTTATTATTTATTAATGTTTTCTGTTTCATTTTTATGCTTACAGAATAAAAAACAAACCATACAGCAGGGATCGAACCCGAGCCGTTAGCTCGGTAGTCCGTTACCTTCGCTGCTCCGCTACACCGCCTCGTTGAATACCCTCCTTACTAACTCATACACTTTGTTGGCTCTTTTCTTTAGACCGTTTTTTCTTAAAAACGAAGAGGTAGTGCATCGTATGCTATTGCCATGAGTTATTAGCAGTCAAGTACTATTAACTCCGTAAGTTTCCTTCCAAACCGTTTCCCGGTCGATGCGTCCTCCCCTTGTTAGTATAAGAATATATTTTACTAGTCACTTCGTCCTCCGTATACCGTGCGCCTTTTACAACCTCTCGCCTGTGCCGCCCTCACGTGTCCTTCTTCCTCGTAATTCCCGCGTAATCCCCCCTTTTCCTAACCGCGGTCGCGCCTCTAGCGGTGGCCGCGCGATTCGATTCGCCTACATCTATTAATACTATCAATTGGTTTCCCAAACCTCATACATTCCAAAAGATTATTTTCTTTTCTTTATTAGTTTTATTTATTCTAATATGATCCTTTACTCTGCTTATTTTTATTTCATTATTAGCCTACTTATTACGAATAGCAAACGAACAAAAACCTATCATAAATATACGATAGATTCTTTGTTATTTTTTCATAAGTATATAATTTTTACAGCATTCACAATTCTTGTTTTTTTCGTGTTATATCGTGATTATGAATCCTATATTGATGAAAAATAAATTTACGATTGATTCTCTATCATTTCCTTCCGTAAATATATTATTTACATCAAATTTTTACATCATGTTGTATCGTATTATTTTCTTTTCCACGAATCATGAATTAACAGAAAACTATCGTAAATTCACGGTTAATTTTTTTTCTTCTTTCATCAATATTTTATTAGAGAATTAGAAAAATATGTGAAAGATATAATTATATAATGTGTTATATTCCTTTTTAATTATACAATATATTTACTTTTTAATGACTTCGCGATAAATTACGATGTTTTTCCTATCGTAATTACACCTAGGAATCAATTCTATGTCAAATATTGCTAATGCATAATTGATAACGATGGGTTTCTTTTCATAATTGCATGATAAAGAATTTGAATTTCTCCTATATAATGCATTACTTAATACACCACCTTATTACAACTGCAATTTATTCACGATATACGGAGAAAAATGTTTTTTTCAATGAAACATATTTCTGATGAAATACGAACGATATAGAAATTTCGATTGCAATTATCAGTCTAAATTATTGCAAAATTCAGTCTAAATTATCAAGATTTTTTATTAACTTAAACAAAATTGCAGTATTTTTAATCCAAATTTTTGCATCGTTCATATTTCATCAGGAAATTAGTTTATTCAATCAAATATTTTCCTCTGTATAGACTTGAACAAAACAATAGAACACGATAAGCCTTTAAGAAAATTCTATCATACTCTAACGACTAAATGTTTTCCTAACAAGGAGCGATAGAGTACAGTAAAAAAACAATATTATTTTTTTCGAATTTGATGCAGCGATAGATTATGATAGAAAACACTGAATTTTAGATTATGATCTCTGTAGATCTTATCGGTTTCTATTGTTTTCTTTCTTTCGATCTTTTCTTTATTACAGAATTTTTTATAGTTTCAGTATGAGCTATTTTTGCTATTTCATGAAACAGAGCTCGGCAAAATCTGCACACTTTGCTCAATTTTCAACTCGCCTCGTCTACCACTTTTCCTCTTACGTCTTCCCTCATGCGCGATCCACGAGCTGTGCGAGCGTAGACATAGTATACCTATATTACGTGTTCTCTCAAATTTCATATTGCGTATATATTCATATGTGTGTGTGCGTATATATTTATATGTAAAAGGATAATGCAGAAAGAAAAAAACTCACCTATCAACGGAATTGCGAAAAGTTCCTTGATGCAATTGATGACTAGCACACGATAATGGATGAGGTGGGATGATAACATCGGAGGTACGATAAGCTATGCTGTGATATAGTGGTGACGTGTCTTCATTTTTATTCAGATACCTGTTTGTCGGCTCTATGTAATACTCTTCAAATCTGGTCATGACGCTACCGTCAAAAAGACCCTCTTTAGTAACGACACCCTGCACTACAGCGCTTTCATCCTCTGAAAAAAGAAAAAAAGATAGGCGGCGCTGATCAATATGTAGTTAATAATCGAATTTATATCATAACATTTATCAACAACAAAATATTGTCTTGTGAACGTATTACTTATCCAATTGCGTGCGACTTTTGACAGACACATTTCATTTTTAGTAAAAAATAAAACTAAACAAACTTTTATTATGAAGCTTTGTCATTTTGAATAAAATGCTATATAATTAAATTATCTTATGGCCATTAATAATCTTAAAAATTTTTTTCCTATCTTAAAACGCGCAAACTCTCAGATATTTAAGATACCGTACCTTTTTCTATATCTTTAAAATGTAACAGCATTTTTCTTTTTCTTTATAAATATCGCTTTTTACACCGGTTTTATATAAATGTTATGTAAATATATTTTTATTTGTATTATAAACAATTAATCACTTTTACATTTTATGTTACTATTATGTACAACATAATGGTTTATTTTATGTTTAGATTAAAGATTAATTAGATTAGAACGTTCGTTGAACTAAACAGAAAAATGTCATTTTAACTTCAACCAAAATTACTTAATCCATCACAATTATGAAGATATCATTGAAAGAAAATTGTAGTCAATCAATTTACACGATGCAGTGGGATATGCACTTTAAGCCAAACCCTATCCAAGAGTTATATCTGACATTGAATAGTGGAGGCGTGCAAAACATCATAAAATTATACGCCTTTACTGTCCGACATTATACATTTCACATTCATCAGAAATTCTCAATAGATTCAGACATCTTGGATAAAACTTTAACTGCAGAGATTAATCCATTGCATCATTATTTGCCAATATTTGTCTTTTAATATCTGTAATAATTAATGTTTGTAATAATTTACAAAGTCTATAAAGAAATTTTCGATGAAATTTAATTTTCTATCAAATTTTTTATAAATTCTTCTTCAAGGCATATAGGCCTTGGGACATTTACATTTAGGCAACCATTATATAAGATATTTAAAAAAGGACACATAGTTACAAAATGGAGAAAAAAAGTTCTAATAAACATGGGTTGAGAAGTTAATATTGTTAGAATTATGAACAATTATTTATTTTAATTAAAGCAAATAATTTATTCGCTTCTGGTGCTTATAAAATTTACAGAAAATTTCCTACATGTCTTCTTTCTATTTCTACACATGCTTCAAATCTTCGTACCATGGAATTGCAAACTCTTTCAAACATTTTCGGCTTTTTTCTAACTATTTGACAGGCATTTTATACTCTCTAATATAATTTGTCTATGTCACTTATCGGATCGTTACTTTTTTTTCAGGGATTCCTTTATAGTATAGTTTTCTCTCTTCACGATAAATGACAGACATTACATTAGAGTACAGATATAGACATAATTACATCAGAGAATACAAACGCACCAAAAGCGAGTAAGTTACTTGCTTTAATTAAAGTAAATTATTTATAATTCCGACAATATTAATTTTTCGATCCATATTTTGCAGGATTTATTTCCTCCATTTTATGAATATTATTTGCCTTTAAAATCTTGAGCCTTTTTTTGAATTGATTAAATTTTTTTAAATTGATTTTATTATTATATAAGCAATTAGAACAATTTCAGGTGTTTATAATATAAATTAATATGGAAATATAATGTGTTCATACACACAGTCATTGTATTCAAAAATTTTCTTAGCGTGTCGACAGATATATCAAATTATATTAAAATATTTGAAAATAACACTCAGCAATATAATTCCAATTTACACTCATTTCTATTAGTAACTTATAAGATATATGCGTTGTTTGATAAGTTTTGAGCCTAACAATAAAACATTTATATTTTTGGGTAAAATGGGTTTTATTTTTCCATATAGTCTCCTTTTAGCTCGATATATTTTGTCCATCTCTTTTCTAGTCCTCCGTCAGCAAAGTAAGTAAGTTGGTTTAAGCTTTGCAAAATACTCGTTTACGGCGATAATCACTTCCTCATTGGTCGCGAATGTTTTTCTTCTCAACCATTTCTTCATGTCCAGAAATAAAAACAGTCGTAGCAAGTTAGATCAGACAAATAGAAGAGAGGGACCAATTTGTAATTTATACAGTTTAGCCATGACAATTGCAGATGAGTGAACTGGTACATTGCCCTGGTGAAAAAGCACCTTTTTCTTCAAATACGGTTGTTTTCTGCGATTTCTTCCTTCAAATGTTCTAATAATACTGCATAATATACGCCAGTAATAGTTTTTCCATTCTGAAGATAATCAATGAATAATATGCCATGGTCATCCCAAAAACAGTCGCTGTAACTTTTCCGGTTGAATGAAACATTTTCGCCTCCTTCGGAGCAAGTTCGCTTGGTGAAGTTTATTGTTTCGACTGTTCCTTGCTTGCAGATGTGTAGTGGTAAATCTATATTTTGTCAACAGTCACGAATTGACGCAAGAAATCCTATCCGACCCTCCTAAATATTCTTTTGATATGTGTCGAATGCGTTTTTAGTCCAACGTCAACGAACATGACATCCATTGCGCAATCAGCTTTCTCATATCTAAATCTTCATGTAATATTTGGAATATACGTTCAGAAAATATATCTGCGACATTTGCTATCTCTCTGACCTTCTGTCTCTAGTTATCCAATACGATTTGATACACTTTCTCCTGTCCACTATTTCTTCAGTCGATGTAGTTTTTGGGGCGAATTTCCGATCCGTAATGTCATCTTCATGTTCAGGCTTGAAACTTATCAAACAACCCATGTATATTTACCACGGAAATAGTCTATGTCATTCGTTAAGTCTTCTTTAAAAATATCACAATTTGCAAGGACTTTAATTATACATAGTTAATTATGGATTCACTGTTTCTATATTTACCATGTTTTTTCATCTGACGTTCACGTTTCGTAGGCACAAATTTTCATATTACATTACGGCTTTGAAGGATGCCAAGAGACTAGATCAGGTCGCAAAAGATGAGAATCCCTCTGCAAAAACCGTTACATCAGAGCAAGAAGAAGAGCTGGCATTCCTTTCCATTTTTGATATTAAATAAAAATACTTTTTGTTACATAATGCCAGGTGTATGCCGGCCATGTTACGAATTTTATATACTGTTTTTATATTGTGTGCTATGCAAAACGTGCAACAAATTATGACTACAACAACTAAATACTTTATATTTCCATATTATTTTATATCAGCATCTGAAACTATTTTAATTGCTCACATAATAAAATCAATATACAATATAGATGAAAAAGAACAATAGGTAAAAAGGGCCGATTTTAAGCCCATCGTGGGGAACGGACAAAACACATCATTTTCAAAGGATTTTGACTCGCTGAATACGATGCCGTTCTTAGTTTTCGTCCAAAACGCGGGAAACATGTTCTAATCCGAGGATCTATCATCCAATAATCGAATGGCCCGCGAAGACTTTACGTAAATTTTGAAGCTATCACAAACTCGTGTATTAGCTAAATTAGCTAAAGACAGTTAAGATTTTCGATTTAATAGAATTATTTTCGATTTAATAGTTGAAGATGTTCTCGTTTTATGTAAAATTTGCCGTAACAAATAATATACATAGTGTCACAACTCGCCCATACCACCTAATTTTTTTGTACACGCGATTTTAGGATTAGAAATGTTTCAGACAAAAGTTATATGATTTCAAAGGAGACATATAACAGCTATATCATTTTGTTTATAAGTGGCGCTACTTTCAAGATATTCACTAATCATTATTCTTCTTAATCCTTTATATCCTAAATTAATTTACCCAAGACCTTATTAAATTTTTGCGTAATTAAATAACTCTTGGCATATCATAAACATAAGACAGGAAAATAAATTTTGTAACAATTCAATGATTAAATTTTGACGTGGTATTTGTAAGTACCGACAGGAATGTAGGGTAAGACACGGGAAAAAGGTTCAAGAGCGCATATATGGAGCGGTACTTTGAAGTACCGTCAGGATACAAAGGGTTAAATGAAAACCTCAATTTTTTATGTCATCTTTTTTTACTAGCTTATTTAAACAACTTTTGTCTAAAACATTTTTTTATTTGCCTAATATTTTTTTAGAAATTTAAGGAAAACGCGATAACTTACCGACCTTTGAAAATTTCAAAATCATCAAATTAACAAAAGTCAGAGCGCTATTGTAGCAATATATTCTTAAGACATTAAGATTAAGAAATAGAATAAAAAAGTCTAGTATCATTTTTTTCTTCCGACACACAGCGAGATATCGTAAGTTAAATATTGAAAAAGTTGCACAGTTTTTTCTAAATATCTCAAAAAATATTAGGCAAATAAAAAGATATTTCAGACAAAAGTTGTTAAAATTAATTGGCAGAAAAAGATGATATATTAAAAAATTGGAGCTTTTGTTTAAGAAAAATAATGATAAATGATCAGTGAATATCTCGAAAGTAGCGCCATCTGTCATCTCAAAATAATATAGTTGTTATATGTCCCTTTTGAAACTATATAACTTTTGTTGAAATATTTTTCCCTAAAATATCGCGTTTACAAAAAAATCGGATAGTACGGATGATCTGTGACACCATGTGCATTATTTGTTACAGCAAATTTTGCATAAAAAAGAACATCTTCAACTATTAAATCGAAAATAATTCTATTAAATCGAAAATCTTAACTGTCTTGAGCTAATTTAGCTAGTACACGAATTTGCAATAGCTTCAAAGTTTACGCAAAGGCTTCCCGGGCCATTCAATTATTGGATGATAGGTCGGATTGGAATATGTTCCCCAGGTTTTAAACAAAAACTAACGACAGCATCGTGTTTAGCGGGTCAAAATCTTCTGGAAATGATGTGTTTTGTCCGTTCCCCATGATGGGCCAAAATCGGCTCTTTTTACCCATTGTCCTTTACATAATACAATTATAATTATATACTTTCAATATAGGACACGAAAAAATATGAAAAAATAATTCAGCTAGACTCGAACATTAGCCGTCGACAAGAAGCATCGGCG